TTGAATCACGTGACAATCAGAACGAATCTTGTGAAAACAGCTGTAATGGCTGTGTAAGAATTATCGGCGTAATGGCTGTAAAAGAATTAACAAAGTAATAGACTCATCTAGTTTCGTTCTATGATAATCTCTCAAAGTGGGTTGTGTAACCTCCCGCAGTCAAGTAAAAATTGGTCACGAAAAAAAAGTATCATTATTAAATGAATTTATATATTATATTATTCATTTATTCAAAAAAATCATCATGACAATAACAGAATTACTTTCTTTTTTTTTTTAGCAAATAATTGTTTTTTAATATAATGTAAATACCCAACGAATATACCAGTTTATATTTAAAATAAAGTTTTAATATCTACTTAGTCAAATTGTTAATTATAATAAAAATAATATACATAATTGAAAATTTTTAAAAAAATTCAGAATTCGAAATACTTTTTAAATTTCTAGGGAGAAATCGGTGAAAAAAAAAAGCGTGAGGTAATTGTGGCTACCTTGCTTTGTAATTCGAGTTTGGTTTAATTATGTTTGATTTAATTATGAATTTTTTTTATGAAATCTTTTTCAAATGAAACATAATAAAAACATTCAAATCTTTATTACTAGGGAATAATAAATAACTAAATAATAATCATGAACAAAGAAATTTCTTTTAATAATTTATTTATATTAAAATGTTTTTTTTCCCTCCCTGATCTTATTCTCTTACCAAAACGCACGATTAACAAACTTTGTACAGTACATAATCAGAATTAAGCCTTTTGAACGTATTATGTTAAATTCATTTTTTTTTTTAAAAAAAAAAGAATATTTTTAAATTCTTAATTCTTTTTATTGTTTCTTGCGTTTCACATCATAAAAGGAATTATAGCTCACATGACATGGCTAAAATGCGCGCTGGTTACTATTTTATTTGGATCGTTGTGTAATGAAAAAAACACAACATATTTGTTATATTATACATTATCATTATCGCCATTTTCAAAATGGTGTGGGTAGTTTATTTGTGATATATTCGGATAGTAATATTCGTCCGGTTTTCATCTGCCGGCATTCGTCCAGCATTCGTCTTCTTTTTTTCTTATTCAAATATAACTGAATACACCATTTTGAAAATGGCGATAATCTAACTTTATTATATTACAAAAAAAAAAAATTTTTTTTTTAGCCTTATCAAATTTTTATTTAAAAATTATAATTGGTCGAAAACAGGTTTGTTTCATGATACGGTTTTGGCTTAATTAATAATAAAAATAATAATATTTTTGCAACTTACTCGTAAAAATGAAACATTATTGCGAAGAATTCTAAATAATTTGTTCATAAATTAATTTTCCACATAATTTACAATCTATTCTACTTTCAATAATTTTTTTCATAATCACAAAATCTATTATTATTTGTATTATTTGTATATTTTATCAAAGAACAAAATTGTAGTGCAAATTTTTCTGAGTATAAGCTATGTTCAAATTGCTATAAAATTTCTTTTGAATGTGTTAAATCAACTTTGATTGAAAAAACCATTCCAATTCTTCATTTACCATGGTGGGATGCTTATAATCAATGTATAGTTTGTAATAAACTCCTTGAATTCGAAGGTGATTGTCAGAAATTGTGTTCAAGCTGCTTTATATTTTATACTGGATGTAGATATTGTTTGACAACAAATATTATTTTTGGATATACAAACCAATCTAAATGTAGTAAATGTAAAAGAATTTTTATTATTGAAATCAGTGGAAATTATAATATTGACAAATTTTTATATTTTACAAATGTTGATAATAATGATAAATATAATGAAATTTCTAATTATATTAATAATAAAAACAAAAATTCTAATCCGTTAAATATATATAGTTTTATTCGAAATAAGTTTGATTATCACTCTACAAAACCGAAAATAAAATGGGTTTCATATTCACAAATTAATATTTTAAAAAAAATAGCAGAAGGAGGATTTGGTATTATTTATAAAGCTTTAATTAATGGTGACGTTGTTGTTATAAAAAAAATTTTAATTTTCTAAATGAGGTAATTAATTTTCAAAATTTATATTTTTAAAAAATATCTATATAATATACTAATTTGAACTATGAAATTTTAGTTAAAATCACTTTATCAATGTTATGATAGTAAATTTGAATGTATTATTAAATGTCATGGTATTGTCATGTGATCGTCATGTGCCACTCCGAAATTGATCGATGTTGCAAATGTTTAACTTGATTGACATGTCGGACATAATTAATATGCCGAACATGATTAACATGTCGAACCTAATCAACATGTTGGTTATGATCAACGTATTGAACATGTTAGTCATATTATACATAGTAAATATATTAAATTTCTTCTTATATGTATAATTTATTATAAATATAGGTCAATTTTCTTGTTGTAAAAAAGGAGGGAATAAATAAAGTTTTCATTTTTAAGTTATAAAGTGACAGTTTTTATCAAGTGAAATCCTTTATTCGTGTTTGGAAGTATATGCCGACGTACAGCGCTATACAACACGTCTGATCGGATAAATTTTGATATATTGTTTGTCTATACATTACATAAACCTTCTGCTACCTAACCATACAAATTGCTTAATAATTTTAAGCGTAAAGAACTGATACAACAAATTGGTGCCTTCTGCCAGAATTTCTGATCCCTACCTTTAATCCCCTTTTATGTTCCAAAACCATTTTGATCGTAATACTATACACGACGCTATACATAGACAGTTAGGGCTAGATAACGTAACCACCTATCATCGTGACCTTTCGTGTAATAACTGTTACCCATCAGAAATTCCCTTAACACCCACTTTTCAGCACTTTTTGGACTGGATTTCTTCCAACTATCCAGTTGTAGAATACACCCGATACACTCAACAATATTTTGAAGAGGTTGCGTATTCGATTACTAACACAGATATCGATAACGCTATACATAACCTATTGTTCAGCATCCGATACGCTGATATAGAACCAACAATAGATTATACTCTATTGCGTCAGGACCTTATCAACACCTATAACTTAACTAACGGATTTTAACAGGACCCTAACGAAGTCCTTTATCAAGTCAGTGAGACTACCACCTCACCAGAACCTGAAGCTTTAAGTGATACTACATCCGAAAATTCCAAGGAAAATATTCCCCATTTACATATTCCCCTACCACCTATATACAACACACCGAATAATCCAGCTCCAGTAATCCCACAAGTGATTAACATGGCACAACCTAACCAACAGGACTTTCAGCAATTACGCGCAGCAATTGCTGCATTGACCCAAGCATTACCTAACACCAACAATGCTTTGGCCGGAAATACACAGGCCATTGCCAACCCGCCTAGACGAGAAGGAAAGGTGGCCGAGTTGCCATATTTCTATGGTGGCAACCAGGACCCAGTTGCGTGGTTAGAGGATTTCACCAGATCCTGTAATGCAAATGGTATTGCAAATGTACGAAAATTGGAAGTCGTACCAGCATACCTAAAGGGAGCTGCTTCTACTTGGTGGAACGCCAACCAAGCATTGCCGAATAATGATCCGAACAAGATTGTTGCGTGGACTGGCAACAATAACAATACGGATTTTATATTGAATTTCCCTGCCGCCTTCAGAACGCAAACCTTGATCGAAATCTGGACCACGGAATTGGAACAAAGAAGACAGCAGCCCGGCGAAGACGTAAACACATACGCCGCTGCTCTACAAGAATTATATAGAAGGGTGGAGACTAACGCCTTCGCATATCCAGAAGCTATTAAAGCTCGTAAATTTGTAAACGGGTTGTTGCCTGACTTGTACATCACCGTAAAACCACATAACGATCAAACCTGGAACGCTGCAGTAGACAGAGCGAAGGCCTATGAGTTAACCCATCAAGACCAACATGCGGTAAACGCCTATCTTAATAAATTCGCTCCTGCAGGCACTAATACTCAAACGGAAGACCTATACAAAGCCATTCA